ATGCACATACTGGTGGTAAAGTCATTCTCATGTGCCATATTTGAGGGCATGATCCATACACAAGAAGGATGTATCCTACTATATAGGATCCAGAGACAGAAAGAGAGAGAGAGATGTATTTAAACATATATATACGCTTCATACGCTTCAGGTTACATACGCTTCAAGTTACAGACTCTGCTAACCCAGAAATAGTACCTCGGGTTAAGAACTTTGCTTCAGGCTGAGAACAGAAATTGCGTGGCGGTGCGGCAGCGGGAGGCCCCATAAGAACGGACCTCTGGAACGAATTAAGTACGTAACCAGAGGTACCACTATATATATATATATATATATATATATATATATATATATTTACAGAACATAACATCATGAAACTAGAGTACAGTTACCAAACAAGGCTGAGCCCACAAGAAGTAACTGACAGATACCCGCCAATATTTCTCTGATGAAAATAGGGATGTCCCATTCCACAATGATAATTTCACTATATATACCCCACACATATTACTGGGTTGCCTCAGCCACTCTGGGCAACTTCCAACATATACAAAAACATAATAAAACACTAAACATTTTTTAAAAAACAAACTTCCCTATACAGGATTGCCTTCAGACGGCTTGGGGATCTGAAAACTCCATACCCCGCAACATTTCTCCAATGAAAATAGGGACATCCTAAGGAAAAGTGGGCCATTCCGGGATCAAATCAGAAACCGGGACGGCTTCTCCAAATCAGGGATGTCCCTGGAAAAGAGGGACACTTGGAGGGTCTGAGACAAAATACAAGATACAAAATACTGTTGAAATGAAAACCACAAGAAGCTAATACAAAAAAAACATAGCCCTATAGTGTCCCACCACAACTGACCATGTTTCTGAGGTGGTTTCCTGTTACACACAGTTACCTGAGGTGCTTTAGAACTTCTTACTAAGCATAAGCTTCTGAATCGCAACAATCATATACGTAATATGATCTATGTAAAATTTAGTCACATGCTGTGCAAAGAAAAATATTTTTTGGTAGCACCCTCATTCTAAATAGCTGAACTTGGTCATTTGCCTGTGGTATCTGAGTCGTGTCTATGTGACTCCTGAGCAAAACTGTCAGGCTTGGTAGTTTGTATGAGTTTGCTTCAAAATGGTGACACTTGCTATTAATTGGGTTATTTTCATTTCTACACACACACACACACACACACACACACCTGGCAGATGCTTACATCAACAATTACTGCTTAGCAGAGGAGTTGTGGGTCGTGTCTTGAGCAGACTGTAATTTATCACGAGTTTCCTCATCTCTGCCTCCTTGGCACATAATAATTTGGGGGAAATTGTTAAAATATTAAAGGAGGGAGAGAAAACAAATCTCTGCTAACATGCCCAGTGGTGAGGGGAAATTACAGGTTTCATTGTGCATTCTGCACCATCTGCCTCCATACAGAGCTTTAACCTGGAGGCTCCCCCCGGGGAAATAGCTATGGATAAGTTATTCAATTATTGGGCAGCTACCTTGGAGAATTGGGTTGATGATGCTGTGATTATCCTCCTCCTGCATTCCTTCATGTCCCAGACAGGCTGCAATGCTATTCAACTTCCTTAAGTGTTCACTCAGCTATAGAGAAGGTGAGCAACTAAAAAAGGGGCTATCAGGCAGTGCCTGGAAGCTTTCAACTTTCCTGGTTTTAAACAGAGCCTATCTATTCTAAGACAAATTGCATTTAAAAAACAACAACAACCCACAACCCATCGCAGGGCCCAGTTATAGCAAAGAACAACAAACCACTGAATCTTTGCGGGGAGGGGAGAATTTTATTGTGTGCATTTAATCTGTCGTTTCGTGCCTCAGAATTCAAGGAATGAAATATTACTCATTCCGTTTGGCCTCGTTGCCGTAGATCTGGGCATACGGGCTGCTTAAAAAACTACAGAGTGAAGCCTTTTGTATGTGGCATTCAGATGCTTTAACGCCTTAATGCCCTGTGCTTGAAGGCAGCTAACAATTCAAATAACAAATTCACAAAACAAATAAAATTACTTCTTCCCCAACAGAACCAGCTATAGCCAATGCAAGAGTAAAACCAGCATATTAGGCACTGAGTCTCAATTTGAAATTAAATGCTTTGCCTGTTTGCCTCTGAAAATTCAGAGAGAGAGAATTCAGAGAGAGAGAGAGAGATGTTCCTCATTTTGGCAGTTTTTAAAGCCAGCCTCAAAGGCCTTTAGTGCTCTCTCTGGGGAAAACCCAGTAACAACCAGTGAGGCAGCATAGGTGGGGCACCATTGCTGGCTGCTGCTGGGTAGATCGCCTCCCTCCTTGTAGCAAAGTTAAAACTGATATACTTAACCCAGAGCTTTCCAAACTTTTCATGTTGGTGACACACATTTTAGACATGCATCAGTTCATGACACAGTAATTCAGTTTTACTAGCAAACTGGAGGTTAAACTAAACCAGAGGTTGGCAACCTTATCTGAGGATGGGCCAGTGTGTGCGCGCACGCATGCTCTTCCGGATCAGAGGAGCGCCCGTGCGCGTGTGCACACGCTATTTCCGGCTCTCCTCCAACCCGGAAGTGCACCAGAAATAGTGTGTGTGCATGCGCACAGGCGCTTCTCTGTCCCGCACTTGTGCGCACACGCTATTTCCGGCGCACATCCGGGTTGGAGGAGTGCCCATGCGCATGTGCACAGGCACCATCAACCCAGAAGTTGGTCCCCGCGCCGCACCAGTAAGAGCAGGCGGCGGGGTGGGGGGGTGGCAGGGGTCACCATGGGCTGGTTAGACAAGCCTTGTGAGCCGCTACTGGCCCATGGGCCTTAGGTTGCTGACCCCTTTCCAGCCCCAGGAGAAGCGATGGAACACACCTGCCCACTGCAGCCAACACACGAATGTCTCACGACACACAGTTTAGAGTTTAGAAAGCTCAGACTTTTAAAAAAATGTTTTTCAAATTTGTTCATTTCAATAATTTTAGAACCATTTTAACATTTCGAAAGTCGACTTCCTGCCCCCTTTTTCTGCGGTGCCTTAATTTTTTAATATTTTCTGCATATTCCAAATTATCTTAATTTGCTCATTTATTCATCTACTTTAAATGTATACTCTTATAAAACTGCAGGTTATTAGAATAATCCTGCCAATGTTCTTATCTGTTTACAGTTTGTTTGTAAATATTCAATAAACTATTTCCATTCTTTTGTTAAAAGTTTGTTATCTTGATTTCTTATTTTCCCGGTAAGTTTCGCCATTTCTGCATATTCCTTAAGTTTTTGTACCCATTCTTCTTTCATTGGGACTTCTTCTTTCCATTTTTGGGCAAGTAACATTCTTGCCACATACATGAATAAATTTCTATACAGTTTGGGTATTTCTTCTCCCTGTAATTCCCCAAAAGAAAGCTCTGACTTCACCACTTGCACTGAGTGTGAGAGAGAAGAAACTTGGATGGGAGTCCGTGTTTACTTTATGGGACCCTGCGGAATGCCCCCTTGTTAAATTACCCTCATTGCACTGCCTTTCTCCATCAGGGTAACCTAGAAACCATGATCAGCACAGCCACTGGAAATGGCAAAACCTTCCAATGAGTGCCCACACCATTCCAGTTTGTTGGCAGAGGCATCTGTCTGCTTCCCCAGGCAGTGGCAGAGCTTCATGCTCTGGCACCGGGGGCAGAGAGCAGGCAGGGGCGTGGCCGGTGGGCGTCCTGGGGGCGTGGTACGTATCTCTTAAAATATATATATTATTAGACAATTTCAACATAGCAAATTATCAATCCAAATAATCAATTACATTATTTCCCCCCCTTTCCCACCCCACCCTCCCTCTCCCCTCCCACCCAGGACTTCCCTCAGCTCCCCTCTCTGGTTTCTTTGCACATATTGTTCTCTGCATGTTATAAAATTGTACATATCCTTGCCTTATCTACCATGTGTTCAACTAATAAATTTGTGGATATTTATTCAAAGCCTGCCAAGGAGTCCAGATCATTTTGTTGTCTTTTTAGGTGGGGCCTGGTGCGTATCTCGGGGGTGTGGCGCACTGCCCACAGGGGCGTGGCACGCATTCCGGGGGTGTGGCGAGTCACCCACGGGGCGTGGCATGCATCCTGGGGGCATGGGGGGGCAGCCGCGATGGCACCCTACTGGGATCGTGGTGCCAGGGGTGGTGCGCTCCCCCCGCCCCCCTCTTCCTCTGCCAGTGTCCCCAGGTCTAGATGTGGAGCACAGGTAATCTCTGATCAAGAAAAGCTATTGCACGAGGAGTCCTATGCAACCTTTAAGACCAACAAATGTATTCATTAGTGCATTTGATGAAGTGCACTCTAGTCCAGCAAAGCTTAGGCCATGATCAATTTGTTAGCCTTTAAGGTGCCACAGGGCTATTTGCTGTTATTGCTGCCACATGCTAGAAAATTGCTGTATTACAGGCAGCCCTGAGTCTGTTCCCTTAAAGTACATCCCTCAAACTTACTCTCCTAGTAGGGTTGCTTAGGACTGCAATTTTGACAATTGAAAATGCATGCCTTCTAAATGGAAGGGGTGTGTTTACCGTATTTTTCGCTCTATAACACGCACCAGACCATAACACACACGTAGTTTTTAGAGGAGGAAAACAAGAAAAAAAATATTCTAAACGAAACAGTGGATGTATGATTTTTGTGGTTCATGCTGTGGCCACAGACATGTGATCTGACAGTGAGTTTGGAGTAGCCCAATGCAAAATCCTGAGGATCCATGTGGATCCATGCTTTGTAACCACGTTTTTGCACCACTGCGGCCCCAGGCAACAGTGGGTGCGTGATTTTTTTGGGTGCAAGATGTAGCCATGGACATGCTATGTGATCTGATGGTGAATTTGGGGTGACCCAGTGCAAAAATCCTGAGGATCCATGTGGATCCGTGCTTTGTAACCACGTTTTAAGTGGGGAGGGAAGGAAAAGCACTCAAGGGACAAGGAGCACGCATGGGGTGTGTGGAGAAGGATGCTGCTAATAATGCTATTTAGCGAGCTGAGTGAGGAGGAGAGAGGGACAGAGAGCCTGCTTGCTTTGCTCCTTTAAAGCAAGCAGGCTCTCTGTCCCTCTCTCCTCCCCACTCAGCGGCTCCTCTCCCGCTTTGCTGTTTCATAGCGAGCCACGGAGGAGGGAAGGAAGGGGAACCATGGATCCTCTGCTCACAACTGCAGCAGATCCCCCCGCCACCCGTAGGCATTCACTCCATAACATGCACAGACATTTCCCCTTACTTTCTAGGAGGAAAAAAGTGAGTGTTATGGTGCAAAAAATACGGTATATCATGAAAAACTAACCCCCCATGCTTCCTTAAGGATTTTGAGTATTCCCAGAACTGAGATGCAGGAAGAAGTCTTACTGGACTCTCATAGTCCCCAGCCCAGCCCCAGTATGGAAACAGACTAAGTAGCTCGCAGGTGCACAGCTAGAGTTGATGAAATCATGTACATTGTTGTGAATAGATGCCACAGGGAATCTAAGAATGGCCTTTTTATTTCTTCCAGATGGGACCCGAACAAATGCTCTCCACCCTTCTTTCAGTAAAATATAGACTAGCTTGGTAGATATACAGGTTGAATCATGTTTGTTTTCAGCATAAATGTCATCAAAGCCCAGTAGAATAATAATAATAATAATAATAATAATAATAATAATAATAATAATAATACAATTTGCAAACTATTTCCCCCTAAAACGTGTGTTTGTGTAGTGTGTAGATTTGATAGACTTCCTGTTACTCATAGATTTTTCCATCTTGTATGGAACCTGTCATACTGATGCTCTAAAGGCAGACGACGTTGGTCTTCACCTTTCTGGCTTATATTTATGACACACAAAGCATTGACTCCTCCAATCCTAGATTTACTGGTTTGAAAACAAGCACCAGTGCTCTGACTGGAACTGTCTTGTTGTAAGTAAATGTGCTTTGGGTCACAGCTTAGAATTTTATTTTATTTTTATTTTTTTGGAAACTTAGTGTATTCTAGAGTGTGCTACACCACGCCTTATAATGCTCAGAAAGGACATAAAGAACAAACTTGGACAGCTCACTAGTCAACACTCTTAAGCACACCCTAGTAATGACCAGTACATCATATATAAATGTGTGTGTGTGTGTGTGTGTGTGTGTGTGTGTGTGAAGCTCAATGTTCCAGTTGTCTTTTATATTTACAAGACAAGCTATAAATATGAAGAAGAGCCGCGGAAGGGCCATGGAAGTGATCTGAGGGCCTCGGACATAAGGTTACCGGGCTAGACTGATGGGAATAAGGACTGACAAATCCCGGAACCAGGAGGAAGGGACGTTGGATAAAGATTGGACTTGTCTATATCTTTCTTTTTCTCTTTTTTTATTATTAGAATGTTTCACAAAGTTGATGAATGATAGAAAAATGTTGGAAGAAATTACCTGGCTTTAGTAAAGATGCATAAAGAATTATGAAATAATATTATGATTATAAGAAGCTGGTAAGGTTAAGACTTAAGTTTTAAACTTTAAGGTTTATTTTATTATAGAAAGATAGGATTAAAATAGTCTAGGGTAATGTAATGATAGAATTTTATGAAACATGGAAAGGAAAGGATTTGCTGGGATAATTAATAACTAGAATACAAAGGAAGGGAGGAGGAGGAGGTCTAAGAAAGAAGGCAATGACAGTTAAGGGTCTGAAAATAATGAACTTGTTTTGTTTTTTTATTCTTTTTTCTGTATCTTGTATTTTCTTGTATTTTTACTTTTTGTATTTTTACTTTTTGTTTTTGTGTAATTCTTGTATTCTTTGAAATTTTAATAAATATCATTAAAAAAAACAAACAATGTTCCAGCTGTCAGGATTTAGCCTTAGCTATTTTCGCCCTGTTTTTTCCATCTAAAAAGGTGACCATAAGTCTCTATTAGAGTTAGGCTGGAGATCTTCTATAACAAGTCAAATACAACAGTTCTAAACACACTCCAAATGTTTTTTTTAAAAAAGGTTAAGACCAGTCACGAACAACTCTGGGGTTGCGGTGCTCATTTTGCTTTACAGGCCAAGGGACGTTTGTCCGCAGACAGTTTTTCTGGGTCATGTGGCCATCATGACTAAGCCGCTTCTGGCGAAACAAGAGCAGCACACGGAAATGCCATTTACCTTCCTGCCAGAGTGGTACCTATTTCTCTACTTGTATTTTGACATGCTTTCCAACTGCTAGGTTGGCAGGAGCTGTGGCAGAGCAACGGAAACTCACCCCGTCATGGGGATTCGAACCGCCGACCTTCTGATTGGCAAGCCCTAGTCTCAGTGGTTTAGACCACAGTGCCACCCGTGTCCCGCAAAGATGTAGCATCTATCAAAGCTACACTCTCACTTTTAAGTCTGCTTTTTAATTGACATGCGCGAAATCCAGAAGAACAATCTGCAGAAGCTACATTACTCATGACACAACATAAGAGAAAATCAATGGCAGCCTACATGGTGGGGATTTTACCCTCCCGACTAATATTTCTGCAAAGTAGTCATCTGGAAACCTGTGATGAGAATGATCTGATCCGTGTCAGGCTCCTGGGCAATTGCGTAATTCTCTGGCCCCAATGCCTAGAAACCTCTGCAAAGGTAATAATTCTCATAAGCCTTCCCCCTAATGTGCATGGCTGGACAGGTGCGTAACAATTAGATAAAAGGCCATTTTGTGGGTGCATCTAAACTGCAAAACTCCCTGCAGAGACATACGTCTTTCAGGTGTCAGGTAAAGCCTGTCCTGTTCTCTCACGTCTTTAATAGTTTTAAGTGCCTCTCTGCTATTTTAGCTGATTAGCTCTACATTTATTTAGTTTGCCCTCCGCTAATCAAAAAGTCCTTTATTGCTGCTTGTTTACATTTTTTATTGTTTGGAGTCTTGTGAGCTGCCTCAAGGCCATTTGGCAATGAGGTGCGATAGAAATTGGAATACCTTAAATAATAAAAGTCTAACTATTCCGCATTATTTTGGCCAGTTCTGGAGAGAAATCTGTGTGTAGATCTGGATTTAGATCAATCTCCCTGTCTACACCATAATAATATTCAGGCCCCATTGAACTGGCTTAATGCGCCACTGCATGTGAATGGGTGTCTGGGGCTACCAGCAGTCATGTATGTCTAGTTGTGAACAAGTAAAGCTGGATAGGGACTTAATATTTTCATTCGAATAACGCACATTGGCTCAGTTTTCCTCCTCCTATAATACTACTCTGGAATTTAGAAGACTATTCCAGTACGAGTACAGTATCCAGAAAAGTGCTGAACTGGCAAAGAAATGAGTGTCTGTATTTGTCAACTTAACTGACTGAATAATATAAGGAAGTCATAAAAATTCAGAGAAAGAACCTGACAGAAATTTTGGCATAAGCTAGGCCTAGGGGGGAAATAAAAGACTTCAGGTGGACTAAATCCAAGCAAAATACTTTGGACTGGTTTCATGTTTATTCTTCAGGATATTTAATAACATTTCTTCTTCCAGGGCTATTTTTAGTATATGACAGAATATCAGGCACTTTTGTTTTGCTTTTTTAAAAGAAGGAGCAGGACAGTGTTGTCCGAATGTTACTTTGTATTTATGAGAATTGCTGTAACCAAATTTCGGCATAATCAGAAAACTGAGCCAGAGGACCTTAATTCTAAACATCTTACTTTTAAGCCAGTCTCATTAAAATCAGTGCCCACAAAAAAAGCCCAACTTTTACTTTTTCCAGATCCAGCCTAGTAAGTTTAGTAAACAATCTGTTTACTTACACACTCTTCAAAGGTCAGGTTCATGTGCTTTTCATTCATCAGTTGGAAAAGTTAAAGCAGTAAAGCAGTAAAGCAGTAAGTTTAGTAAACAATCTGTTTACTTACTTACTCTTCAAAGGTCAGGTTCATGTGCACAGGCAGTAAAGCTTAGTTCAGTTCCAAAGTGGTGAAAGTTCTTAAAATATTGGTATAGGAACACAAGAATGGTTTGCGAGAGTCAAGCGGCTAAGCTGGAGCAACACACCTCTTTACACACTGAGTCAGGTAGACTGAGGTACAACAATAGGCTTGATTACCCAAGGTGAGGGAGAGTGACCTAGACTAAGCCTGGCAGGACAGCTTACTCTACGGTCTTAACCCTTTCATGCATTAATTAGACTTAAGCATGTTGGTTATATGAGTCTGGTTATCCCAGAGGACCAGAGTTTCTAAGTGACTTGGAGAGTTGGCATGAGAGCTACTGAACATGAAACTGCATTTATCTCTTTTCTTTCCATGGATCTGTATTTGATGGGTCTAAATTAAACAAGAGCTTGTTGCTCATAATATTTGAAGGAAGTTTAAAGGACATCTAATCAGTCATATTCAAAGACACCACACAACTCTATTCTGAGATGATTTTAGAGGAGTTCTTTAGAATGAAATATTCTTAGGTAGCTTTCGAAGGATTAGCTCATCATGTTTCTGTGCATTAGTAAAAATCAATACATCCCTTTAAAAGAATAACAATTACTTAAAATGTTCATCTGAAGTGATGATGATAAAGGAAAAGCAAAGGACTTGTGTTTTCTCCATTGTTGCTTCTGGGTTTCATGCAAAGTAGGGAGATAATTATACTAGAGAGAATGTGACAAGACCCAGGTGGAAGAACGTAGGAATCACACTTCCTGAAGCCAAACTTCCAGGAGGCTGCTAACCATGGATTTTGAAATTCTGGGTCCTTGGGCAGAGCCAAGAAAAGGAAGCCATGATATGCAGAGTTAGCAGGACAGAACCTAGATATAGATTGGTTTCTGTTACATTAATAGAAGTAAATCCTGACGCAAGAAGGCTGCAATCCTATATCCCCTTACATTTCCATTGGACTCAGTGAGACTGACTTCTGCATAGCTATGCACAGGATTGCACTGGAAGTGTAGAATAGAGGAAAAAGAACAAGAAGTTGCAAGCTAATAAATGCAACTTCCAATAGCTGGACACAGAGGCAGGACACACACCATTCAGTTAAAGCAAACCCACCCCAAAGAATCATGGGAAGTGTAGCTTCCCCTACACAGAACTACAATTCCCAGCACCCTTCACAAACTGAAGTACGGATGGGGGGTGGTATAAGTTAATTATAAGAAATAT